TTTAGTCATTTAAACAGCTCTTTTAGCAATTAATTCTACAACTGGCCTAATGAAAATAATAGGCATGTTTAAAAATACAGTCAATAGTCATGATCTTAAATCCCAAACTTCAGAGCTTTAGAAAACAATCAATGGAAAAAAGTGTAGAACAAATGTACTTGTTACTGAAATCAAGTTATCAGCTGTGAAAAACTTGCTATGTCATGGCTTTCTTATCATCTGTTCTCTAATAATGAGGATGTATGTCTAAACTCTCCTCACTACTCATCCTTACTTCCTCCTAAGTTTATAAAATAGTTTCTCAAGAAATATTTTTAGTTTTGTGAAAGGTGATTTGATAACTATTCAGTTTAGTAAAATGAATTAGTAATATGTTAACTGTGTTCTAATAGGGGAAGGCACGTGCTGAGTAGATATGTATGTTTCAATTGTGTAACTATAGGTGACTTCTGCAACATTTTCAAAGAATGATATACTGTCATTGTAGAGTTTGTCAACCTGCCATTTAGAACACAATCTCTCAGTAGATTGCCAGTTCTATCCCAATATGCAATTATTTTGATGCTTTAAAAATATTTTAAACACAATGTAAAACCACTTAACTAAATATCACACAGTAACACAATACTTGTAGTTTATGGAAGTACATTTAATGCAAAATTATATACTGTGAACGTAAAGATATCAAGTACTAGCAATACTTTCAAGTCTGTACTACGAGTATTTTCAAGTATGTACAATTTATTATTACTATGAGTATTTTCAAGCCTCCTTGTTTTCAATTAAATGATTTAATTTAGTATTTCACATCTAAACCACAGAAACGACTTTAAATTGGTATATCCTATTGTGTATGTTATTGCAGCATAATCCAGATTTTAAAAAGTCTAACTTTCAAAGTAGAAGTTATATAAACAGATAAAATATTCTATATTCAAACTGACTATTGTTCTAAAAGCTAATTTTCCTTACTAAAAGATGTTGGTTTTCATGTAAATTGCTTATCAATTCCACAGGGTTTTAAATAGACCACACAAGCATAAAGCGGGAAGAGGGTAATGGCCATTTGGGCATCTTCAAAAGAAAAGCAGGAGAACCCAAGAATTCACAATAGCAGTGGTCATGATTTTTTTTCCTTATGCATGCCTAACTGGACATGAGGATTATATCTGGAATAAAAGCTGTTAGTGGTTTGAAGGAAGCACCCTAAATAGAAATGGTCTAACTGGGTAAATAAGTACCATCAACTGTGAGGGTACATAAGGCACAATGGCTTTCGACTAATCTAGTAAATCCAGTACAGAACTAAGAGTATCCTATAAAAAGGTCAGATTTGCTAAAAATCCTATACAAAAAGTTACCAACATAAAAGCTTTTCTTTGCATTCAAAATACTGAAACAGCTGTACGTAGTCTGTAAATTTTAAGACTAAGATTTACTGTTGGCTTTCACTTGCAAAGTCATGCATTAACTGTTTTCATATCAAACTTTTTGATGCCTGTAAAAAAGAAAAAAAAATTCTTACAGTAAATAAATGTACATTTAAAACCTAAGTAAATGCAAGAAACTTAAAATGGAATTAAGCAAAACATATAAAAGCCCAAATAATCAAATACATATTTAAATCATTATATAGCTACTTTAAAAAAAAGCTGACTTGACTATATTAATCTTAATTCATAAGATATTTCTTCACCCACCTGTAACATTTGATTTCCAGTACCATCCCTCAACCTGTAAGGTCTGATAACTCCATCTTCATTAAAGAACCTAGGGGGTCGCAGACTCTCCACTTCATTAGAAGTCTCTGTAGCTCTAGAGGGAAAACATATAACTTGATTTTAAAAATTACTCAAAAACTCCTAAGTATACTTTAAAATGAAACTACTAAAAAACGATCTTCTTTTGGATAAAATGAGACTATTACATCACTTCTCTTTTTTTTTTTTTTTTCTTGCGTTATGCGGGCCTCTCACTGTCGTGGCCTCTCCCATTTGCGGAGCACAGGCTCCGGACGCGCAGGCCCAGCGGCCATGGCTCACGGGCCCAGCCGCTCCGCGGCATGTGGGATCCTCCCGAAACGGGGCACGAACCCGCGTCTCCTGCATCGGCAGGCGGACTCTCAAGCACTGCGCCACCAGGGAAGCCCCACTTCTCTTTTTTAAATTCTGTCTTTTGACACAAATAATAATAAGTTCTCTAGACAAATGTAGAACTGTAAAGAAGTGTGATTATAGATTCTCTTGGATTTTCTTTGTAGACAATAATCAGAGAATCAGCATATGAGTACTGCTTTTTCTTTTCTGGTTTAAGACTTTTAATTTCTTTTGCTTTTCCTATTTCCTATTATATTGCATTATTAGCTCCTCCAGCACAATGCGAAATACATGAGGGGATTGCAAGCATCCTTCTCTCATTCTCAACTTTAAAGGTAAAGCTTCTAAGAGTTCTTCATGAAGTACAGATATCAGCTTTTTTTTTTTTTTAAAGACACTGCTTGTTAAGCCAAGGAAATTCATTTCTACTCTTAGTTTGCTAACTTTTTTTTGGTCATTGTTATTGAAAATCTTGAATGAACAATGAATTTTAAATATGGAATTTTCCCCTGGTCATTGCTGTGATCCTGTGGCTTATCTCCTTCAAACTATTAATGCTTTAAGTCACATTACATGGTTTTCTAATGTTCACATACCCTCACATTCCTCCTAAGGCTTGATATGTACTGTTTGAAACACATATACACATTGCTGAATTTGGTTAATATTTTATTTAACATATTTTGACTGTAGAGACCTACATGAGAAAGACTCATTTATTGTTCATTCATTCATTCAACAAACATTCACATATTCAACAAATATTAAGAGCTTACCATGTAATGTATCCATATGTATAGACACATACATATGGATCAATCTCCAATTAAAAGCAGAAATTGGCAGAATGGATAAAAAAATGTGATCCAACTATATGCTGTCCAAAAGAGGCTCATTTTAGAGTCAAAGACACAGACAAGTTGAAAGTAAAAGGATGGAAAAAGATATACCATGTAAATGATAACCAAAAGAGAGCTGGAATGGCTATATTAAAATCAGAAAAAAATTAGACTTAAAAAAAAATTCCTATTAGACACAAAGAAGGACATTTAATTTTTTTAATGAATTTTTATTGGGGTATAGTTGATTTACAATGTTGTTTTAGTTTCAGGTGTACAGCAAAGTCAATCAGTTATACATATACATATATCCATTCTTTTTTAGATTCCTTTCCCATACAGGCCATTACAGAGTATTGAGTAGAGTTCCCTGTGCTATACATTAGGTCCTTATTATTATCTATTTTATATATAATAGTGTATATACATTAATCCAAATCTCCCAATTTATCCCTCCCCCACCATGCCCCTTGGCAACCATAAGTTTGATTTCTACATCTATAACTCTATTTCTGTTTTGTAGCTAAGTTCATTTGTACCATTTTTTTAGATTCCACATATAAGCACTATCATATTTGTCTTTCTCTGTCTGACTTACTTCACTCAGTATGACAGTCTGTAGGTCCATCCATGTTGCTGCACATGGCATTATTTCTTCTATGGCTAAGTGATATTCCTTTGTATATATATATATATATATATACCACATCTTCTTTATGCATTCATCTGTCGATGGACATTTAGATTGCTTCCATGTCCTGGCTATTGTAAATAGTGCTGCAATGAACACTGGGGTGCATGTATCTTTTCAAATTATGGTTTTCTCCAGATAAATGCCCAGGAATGGGATTGCTGGATCATATGGTAGCTCTATTTTTAGTTTTTTTAAGGAACCTCCATAGTGTTCTCCATAGTGGTTATACTAATTTACATTCCCACCAACAGTGTGGGAGGATTCCCTTTTCTCCACACCCTCTCTCGCATTTACTGTTTGTAGACTTTTTTTTTTTGTGGTATGCGGGCCTCTCACTGTTGTGGCCTCTCTCGTTGTGGAGCACAGGCTCTGGACGCACAGGCTCAGCGGTCATGGCTCACGGGCCCAGCCACTCCGTAGCTTGTGGGAATCTTCCCGGACTGGGGCACGAACCCGTGTCCCCTGCATCGGCAAGCGGACTCTCAACCAATGCGCCACCAGGGAAGCCCTGTTTGTAGACTTTTTGATGATGGCCATTCTGACCGGTGTGAGGTGATACCTCATTGTAGTTTCGATTTGCATTTCTCTAATAATTAGTGATGCTGAGAATCTTTTCATGTGTTTTTTAGCCATCTGTATGTCTTCTTTGGAGAAATGTCTATTTAGGTCTTCTGCCCATTTTTTGATTGCGTTGTTTTTTTGATACTGAGCTGCATGACCTGTTTGTATATTTTGGAAATTAATCCCTTGTCGGTTGGTTCATTTGCAAATATTTTCTCCCATTCTGAGGGTTGTCTTTTTGTTTATCATTTCTTTTGCTGTGCAAAAGCTTTTAAGCTTAATTATTTTTGTTTTTATTTTAATTTTCATTACTCTAGGAGGTGGACAGAAAAAGATCTTGCTGAGATTTATGTCAAAGAGTGTTGTGCCTATGTTTTCCTCTAAGAGTTTTATAGTATCTGACCTTACATTTAGGTCTTTAATCCATTTTGAGTTTACTTTTGTGTATGGTGTTAGGGAGTGTTCTAATTTCATTCGTTTACCTGTAGCTGTCCAGTTTTCCCAGCACCACTGATTGTCTTTTCTCCATTGTATATTCTTGCCTCCTTTGTCATAGATTGGGTGACCATAGGTGCATGGGTTTATCTCTGGACTTTCTATACTGTTCCATCGATCTGTATTTCTGTTTTTGAGCCAGTACCATACTGTTTTGATTACCGTAGCTTTGTAGTATATAGACTGAACTCAGGGAGCTGGATTGCTCCAGCTCCTTTTTTCTTGCTCAGGATTGCTTTGGCTACTTGTGATCTTTTGTGTTCCCATACAAATTGTAAAATATTTTGTTCTAATTCTGGGAAAAATGCCATTAGTAATTTGATAGGGATTGCACTGAATCTAGATTGCCTTGGGTAGTACAGTCATTTTGACAATATTGATTCTTCCAGTCCAAGAACATGGTATATCTTTCCATCTGTTTGTGTCATCTTTTTTTTTTTTTTTCTTGCGTTATGCGGGCCTCTCACTGTTGTAGCCTCTCCCGTTGTGGAGCATAGGCTCTGGATGCGCAGGCTCAGCGGCCATGGCTCACGGGCCTAGCCGCTCCGCGGCATGTTGGATCTTCCCAAACCGGGGCACGAACCCGTGTCCCCTGCATTGGCAGGTGGACTCTCAAGCACTGCGCCACCAGGGAAGCCCTGTTTGCGTCATCTTTGATTTCTTTCATCGGTGTCATGTAGCTTTCAGAGAACAGGTCGCTTGCCTCCTTAGGTAGGTTTATTCCTAGGTATTTTATTCTTTTTGATGTGCTGGCAAATGGGATAGTTTCCTTGATTTCTCTTTCTGATCTTTCATTGTTAGTGTATAGGAATGCAAGAGATTTCTGTGTATTAACTTTGTATCCTGCAACTTTAACCAATTCACCGATGAGCTCTAGTAGTTTTTTGATAGCAGCTTTTCTATGTATAGTATCATGTCACCTGCAAACAGTGACAGTTTTACTTCTTCTTTTCCAGTTTGATTTTTTATTTCCTTTTCTTGTCTGATTGTCATGGTGAATTCCCTATGAGTTATTGACTTTTGAGCTTCTCTGATGACTATGACTCAATAATTATATTTGTGAAACTAAAGTTACAGGTAGAAAAAACTGTACCCTTTTTTCCAACCTTAACTCTAAACTAAAACTGGAAACACCCCATTATGGGCACAGTATGAAATACTGACTTAAAAGGAGCAACTAATTTAATGACAATACTTATTGCAATAGAGCAGAAAGCCAGAGAAAGTACAAAGGAAAAAAGGTCAGGGAGATATCCACCCACCAATTTTCTAAGTTAGGTTTCTAAGTTAAAATCATTAGTAAGAATTTATCAATTGTTTTATGTGTTACAAACTTCTAGAAGAGAGGTAACAATAACACAACTACTAAATTTTAGTCTTATGCTAAATTTAATTTGGAGGAAAAGGGAACATGTTTAAAATTATTTGCACAAGTGAAGAGAAATAGAGGGAAAGGATATAATAGTTTCATAACAAAATAAGACCATAAAGGTAGGGGTGAACACAAGCTGAGTTTGAACTGGGAATATAAAATACCATTCTTTATTTCTTAAAAAAGGAGACAAAATATTATATTTGCTAATTTTGTAACTGATGTATAGCATTACATTACTGTAATGTATTGCAATCAAGGTAAGTGAAAAGCTTAACTTGCCAAACCTTCCCTGCCAAGGCTTCTGGGAATGAATGACAAATGAAGTAGAACTCTATGAAGCTGAAATGATGCAATACCAACAATTTAAGAAGTATCAAAAGCAATTAGGAAGATCACATGCAACTTGCCGTTATTGCAGGGTTCATAATTAAGTGCCTCAAGCCAAAGAGATTTATCTCATTTCTCTTGGTTTAAGCATTTTACTCATATTTTACATCAAAGAGAATTTACCTTTTTATTCCCTGAAATGTACTGCTAGCCATGTCTATGATGCCTCCAGTTGGCCTTGTCACTGCTCCAACTAAACCTTTCCCAACACCTTTAAAGAAACCAGCCGCTCCTTCTTTTTGAGCTCCTGGATAGAAAAAAGACAGAGTTTTAGACAATTGGATTAGGAACGAAAATGGAATCAGTTTATGAAAGCCTTGGTAATATATAACACCCAAACGAATCACTATACTTGCCTTTGATCGGTTTTGTAACAATTCCTGTTATGCCACTTACGAAACCCTAGAGGAAAAGCACAATTGAAAATTTACAATACTTTGACATGATACCTTGAAGAACCAAGTCTGGCTTACAAAAGAAATGCAGAGATCTGCTTTCTAGATACCATAAAAATTAACATATTTCCTAAGTATTTTATTTAAACAGAATATTTCTGGAGGCTACTGACATATTTTTTATTATGTCACAACCCATTGCTCCACCAACATCCAAATAATATTTGAGTGAATGAAAGTTTTATGTCTATTTCCTTACTCACAGATCGTGGCTTTAACAGATATTCCTAAAATGTTCACAACCATGGGAAATTTCTTACAGAAACTAATCCTTTTCCTCCACGAGTGATGCCTTCTCTAAGACCAGCTGGTTGCTTGTTCATGGCTTCTCTTCTCTTCTGTTGGTAGTCTTCATCCATAGTCATAGCTGCTACTCCTTTAGCCATAGCACTGGTGATTTTGGAGGCAGCACCAGCTAATCCACCTAGCAAAATTTAATACCTTTAGTAAAACAAAACATATCATTACTTTCTAGCATAATCATTCTTGGTAGGCATTCTGTTTCTTACCAACAGCTCCACCAACTAGTGCTTTCAGTCCCAGTGCCATTCCTTCCACAAACTCTTCAGGACCCTGGATGGCTCCCTAAAGGGTCAAAAAAGTATAACAATAAATAAAGTTATGCTTACTTTTAAAGGTAAATTTTTTTTTGGTATATACAAGGAAAGTAGTAGTGACAAAAAGAATAAAGATGTCCCAGAGAAAGTGATATCAGAAGAAAACTTCACATTAACATAATTCTCAGATATTTCATGGCATTCAAAGTACAAAAGATAAAATGTTAGAAGCTGATCCAAACTTAGAAAGGAATATGACTATTCACCAAAGTGTACAAAAGATGCTTACTCGGAGTATATGTTATATTATGAGAAGGTAACCACAAACTATATAATTTTTTACAAAAGAAATAACACTTTAATTCTTAATATTTCTAATATTTTAGATTATAGTGTACAAAATAAATACTAGTTTTACTTTAGTTTTCATTATCTTCTATGTTTAAAAGTGAAAGTAGGAGAGTTTTGAATGTTTTGACAGAAATTTTTAAGGGACAGAGAACAATCATAATTTTTACCATTGATTATTAAGATTGTTTCACACAGTGTCAGCTTGCATGGTTATTTTTACTGCCCCACACCACTGTGCAAAGCAAGACTGTGTGTCCATGGGAATCCTCCTTCTACTATAGTACAAATTTTATCCACCTTTAATATTCCAACAGAACACTTAAAATTTGGTATTTCTTAGTAAAGTCTTAAGTTTAAATTCTGAAGGAAAAGGTAAATATTTCTCCCAAGACTTCTCAAAAACCTCTTACCATTGTTTGCTTCAAAACAATGTCCTTTTGTTGTGTTTCCAAAAATCCATTCACAACTACAACTCAAGTTAACAACTGGGGTGATTATTATTATTATCATTTTTAATTGAAGTACAGTTGATTTACAATGTTGTTTTAGTCACCGGTGTATAGTAAAGTGATTCAGTTATACATATATATACACAAGTGTGTGTATATGTGTGTATATATATACTTTTCGTATTCTTTTCCATTATGGTTTATTACAGGATATTGAATATAGTTCCCTGTGCTACACAGTAGGGACCTTGTTGTTTATCTATTTTACATACGGTAATTTGTGTCTGCTAATGGGATGCACTATTTATTCAAAAGTATTAGTGTGATATATTGCACAACACAAGATTAACTACTTTACCTGGTAAGGCTCATAAAAAAATGCTTCTACACCTTCAGAAAATTCTCTAATCAAGCCAAAGGGATTTCCCAAAACATCAAGTCCAAGAATGAGTACGTACATCTGCTTAATGGCCTAAAAATGAAATATAAACATTAGTCAAATCAGATTATCAGACTTAATATTTTTTTTCCTTATATTCAGTACACACATCCAGTTGTTTTTCAGGCTAACACCCTCACCACCAATTTCAGCCTAAACCATATCACCTTATTCATCAGTAGTCTTAGTTTTAAAAAGCAATTTGGTGTTAGAGTACGAGAAATAATATGACCTATTTACATAAAGTTTTAGAATATTCAAAATACTTTTACAACTATGTGTGACAGTTATTATTACTGCCCCCATTTTATAGACTAGAGAAACATACAGGTCAAATGATGCCTGGACCCATGGTGGGTAAACAGCAAAACTGGGATCCAAACCCAGACCTCTTAAGGCATGCTCAGTGATCTGTCCACCATACAACAGCTATCTCAATGCTCTATAAATTATACCACAAAATACAGGAGTCTTCAGAGGTGGACAAAAACCCACTAAAATAATATATCTACCTGACTACACAACTTAATTACACTAAAAATGCCCTGTGTTCATCAGTTACTTACTGATAAATAGTTTCCCTTGACCTATTTTTTTAAGTAAGTGAGCTGAATTACTTAGCTAATTATTATTTAAAGATTTACATCTAGTCCACACTGATCCAGGAAAGATGTCTGTCAAAGGCTAAAAGTAGAAAGGCAAAAAACTGAAATGGTGGTTGGGCTCAACTTCTTTCTACAATCCTGAGGGAAAAAAACATGTTTTAAAATTTTGAAACGGCTATTCCCTTCCTGGCCAAATCATTATACCTCTATAGACACATATGGCTTCACCATTTTTTCACTTTGCCCCTCTGTAAAATAATCTCAGACAAACCTGTTTTGAATAGTGTCTTATTACTTCAGACTGTAGTTCAGATGTTGTATGGAACTGATAGTTGAGTTCAAAAAATGCAAGCCTGAAAAAAAAAACACACATAAAAATGTATAAATATATAGAGAAAAGGGGATTATGTTTTTAATATTAATGAATGGTTTTATTTTCTTTAGAATTTTTCTCCAAAAAAATTCCTTTTAGTACATTTTCCCATACCAGTCAGAAAATCCACTCCTATATACATCTCTGCATATTCTGGTCAAAGAACCCTCTTAAGAATCTGATAAAAGCTATGGATCTTATCTTCAGGAAAGCCATCAATATACACATATTTCCACAGAATTCAGGCAATTTAGAGACCCCTTGGGTCCCACTCCTGGACATGAACTATATTTCTCAATTCTGTCCTATCATGGCCCACACAGGAAGTGCCTGACGCACTGAGATAAACAGAAGAGGCTGCTCAAGAATGGCCAGGGTTCAGCTGCTGCCGGTCCTGCCTGATCAGCTGACAGCTGAAGAATCACCATCAGTTTATTTATAACCTATTCACAGCATATACCTGGAACCACTAATTGGGAAGTTCTATGCTAAGGATAGGACAGCAGCAAGATTAGAAATCTCATCCTATTTCTGATGTCTTCAAACTTGTGTTTTTAACTTTGACTGTTTCCTAACTTTTATCTAGATTTACAGTTATGTCTTATTAGACTCACTGATTCTTACTACTGTTCTTAATAATAGCTCTAGGTGCTATCTGCAAAGGTCATTCTCATCTAAAGTCTCCACTCAGACTCTCTGTCTCTTTGGTCAGATACGCTAATAGCTTACATTATGACTCACATTAAATTCTTGACTGTAACATTTAAACTGATCCCTTCACTTCTGCTATCATGGCATTCATTTTCTTCTAGTCACATATGCTTTGAAGAGTCTTGATCCCATAGGCCTTAAAGCAACATCTTTTAAGCACCACACATCACATCTTTGGGTATACACAGCTTCTTAGGAATCCTTCCCTAGGCCAAAAAGGCCTTATATAACACACAAACTTGCATGACCTCTGTCCCTCTTTCTTAAGGAAATTATTTAATAATTATTCTGTTATTTAATAGTTATGGGTTACCAGGCAATATGTTACTTAAATTATATTCCATTTAACAGCAAAAAATATATTCAACCTATGATCTGCAATGTACTTTACATACTTTTTCAAGTATAAAATTTTAATGTAAATATAAAATGGACTTTTCATCAATTTATACATTTGAATATTAAACATACTTAAAAACTACATCTTGTACATCTGTAAGAGTGGCACCAATACTCTTCAGCAAAAGATTTAAAGAATGAACTGCCACCAGTCCTTCAGGTTTTTCTGAATCTTTAGCTTCTTCACCACCTGAACTCAGTGAAACACTTAAATGCAACTAAAGAGATAAAGAAAAAAATATTTAAAGCACTTTCTTCATAATGACAGTTTTAACTCTTAAAATTCAACATCATCTTAAATTCACTATACCATAAATAAGATTTCAAAGTTACCTAGATTATATCAAAATTAATAACTGGAATATTGAAAGAATTTAAAATGTAAACAGCCCTTTAAAAAATTTAAATTCAACCATGTAATGTATGATATTTAGTTCAATCCAATTCTTTTGGTAAACCTAGGAAAACATTAATCTTCATACATTTTTTAGTAACATTAACAATCTAGAAGTTGAAATTGTTGAAAATTAACTCAAATATCTCCAAAAGTGAACGTTTCAACTATTAGAATTAAGTTAGCGTGGTAAAGCCAGTTAAAAAGCACTTTTGTATTATATGTATTATATATAGTATAAGTAGTTATACAGTAATTTTCTTCAAGTATTATGTAAGTTAACTCATAGAAATTTTATGTTAAGAACTTACTTTTAGTTCCATTCAATCTTCAATTTTAAAATCAAGGTTACTTTATAAATTAATTTCAAACTTATACTAATATCATACATAAAAGTTTGAAAATTGTCACTCAACACCTTAATAGATAGCAAGTTAACATAATGTTAGGTCAAGATGTAAACATATAAACACATACTGTAGGTGGCTCCACTATTATTTCCACATGATAAAAAGTTATAAGAATAAATAATAAAAATGGAAAAGTATCATTCCTTTGTTATTTACTTATATTTGTAATTGTGAAGTTATAGAACTTATATACTATTAAGAATATAATTTAAATGTTGTATTCTCCCAAACAGATCAAATCAATCTGCTATTACCAAGATTATCAAGGACAATAAAAATGACTTATTTTTCCCCTACCTTGATAGGAGATATATGAAAGTATTCATAGAGACTGACTTGTGATGAATCTCCTAATGAAACTATTTTATATTCTTCTTGGAAAGCTTCTGTATCTTTATGAAAAAGCTCAACCTATAAAGGAACATAAAATATTAAAAACATAAGGGATATTTCTGTATAAGTATTAAGCTAATAGCTCACACGCTGCAGAATACTTCCCCCGAATATCCAGATTCAACATTGCTCATGACTGGGAACCTACTGCCTTAGAAGGGAAACTAACATCTCTACTGTTAGGAAAGTTCGGTCACTCACAAACTGATAAGCGTATCTTCTATGTTTCCATCCAATACATTAAAAGACACTAAGGTTTTCTTCACGTGACCATAGATTTTATTTCAAAAGGCCACTAATCCAATCCATCAACACTTTCTTAGGAATAACACAATCATAATGTACTTGCAGCTTTTTGATAAATGCATTACTGACATCTACAGAGGTCACTAATATAAATCAAAAAAGGGAAGGCACTGAAAGTAATCTTTCATGAAGTGATTAGTGCTTTCATTCTTGATAATCAACACTATTTCTTTTGCAAATGCTCACAAATCTAGTATTTCTGTGTGTTGAGAAACAGCCCAACATTCACATTTTAACTGATTAACAAAAACTTCAAAATGATAACCTTATTAAAAGGATATTTAGAAATTCACTTCTGGGATAACGGTGTAAGGAGATCTTTAGCTCTCCAGTGAAACTGGTAAAATTTATTTAAAAAAACAAACTTTTAAGGCCTCTATACCTAAGGGTATAACCAAATAAAACATCTATTCAAGAAAATCTATAAAAATTTGGTAGGAAAAGTGAGTCTGTGGTATTTGAAAAAGGACCATTCTCTCAGTTCCCCCTCCCAACTCAGTAAGCCAGAACTCCAATCTAGACTGGTGCACCCAAGAACTCAGAGTTCCCTCTCTGCCCCACTTCCAACTGGAGGACTTTCATCTTGGGAGGAACAGAGGTCAGCACTTCTCATCCTGCCCCCAGCTACTAGCTGCTGAGCCTAAACTACAGGGGAAGAAGGAGCTTCCCTCTTCTGCCCAGCCTCCACTCAGAGAACAAAGGCTCTACTTGGGTGTGACACCACTGAGAATACTGAGGTCTGATCACCCTTGGCCCACCTCTAGAGCTCCAAAGCTCTGGTCCAGAGATATTGCCTGGGGGTGGGGGTGTATGTGTGTGTGGGAGTAGACTTTAAAACAGACAGCTCCTCATCTCTTCCCAAAGAAACTGACTTCATTTACAACAAAATGTACAGTTCAGGCCTAAGAGTGCTCTAGGAAACAGTGAATGTTGTGGTGAAAGGCAACTGGGAGGAAAATCCTTGATTCGGTGAAGATACAGGCTAAACTGTAGGCCTGTTAAGTTTTTGTGAAAGAAAGAACTGGGGAAAGAGACGGCGGGGGGGGGGGGGGGGGGGGGGGAGAGA